GGGGGGGGCGTGCAAGAATTTCGGGAAAAAAGGTTATAGCCTACCAATGCATGCCCCTTTTGGCGCGGGTGCGCCTTCCTTTAGGTTTGAGTTTCGTCAATGTATTTTATAAATGGCATGAATAGAACTGGCAATTCGCAACACAAAATGACAGTAATATCAGTCTGATATCAAGACCAACCTACTCTAGCAGTGAGTCGTCGCGGCTTGTACGGTAGAAAGCCGCACGTCCCCGGCCACAGTTACCCACTGCATTGCCCAATCTTGGCGTTTTTAGCTTTCGATTTGTGTAATCGAAGGTGAAAATATGACCATTCATTGGTCATTTATGATCAAAACTACATTGTAACGGTTATTAGACTCTTTCTAGCTGAATAACTACGATCTTCACAGCAACCGTGCCACAAGAAGTATGGTCCTAAACCTAGTGGTCGTTTCGGATAGAGTGAACTGCTGCGGCTGTCGATCGCTGAACGTAAACAAGGAGGACAGAAACAACTTCCAAACTATCGAGGTTGAAATATACAGTGTTCAGTGAGCAGTTCATATGAACGCTGTTCTATACATAGATATGACTAACCACATAGCGAGTCACCACGATTGCCGTAACACATCTGCAGCTACGCTAACAAGCTTTGCGGCAAAACGTGCCAGATGAATGTGATCCAAGGCAACCCGCAAAGAATGAGCTAACAATCGCAAGTTTGGTGCGAGCACGAAGAGACGAAACACTGAGTATGTAAATGACAAATTCGAAATATAGGATACCTAAATTACTTTTTCAATAAAAAAAAATTTACTCGTTCTTGTTTTTCAGGGGTTGAGTAGTGGGCAGCGTGTTTGGCTCAGAATATGTGATCTGTTAAGATGAAAGGTTCGACTCCGGCTCACTATGTTTTCTTTCACTTTTTTTGCTGCGTGCATGTTTCAGCCTTAATTACAATATGCGCAAGACCACAAATACTAAACGCATTGTAAAAGCCAGATTTCGGCCGATAAAGGGTGTCCCAGTGGGCAGCGCCAACGTGCCTCGTGCAGCGTGGCACTGTCCCCGTGTCAGCGCCACGCTGGACACTGGTCTAGTAATCAGGTTTGGCGCTGGGCCATTGCTACTGGTTTTTGCGATAAGGGTGGAAGACTGGTTCACCCACTACGAACTGGTGAGCGCAAACAAGTGGAATGACGCGGACAAGTTGACTAACGTCATCTTTTACCTCGCTGACATGGCCAAAGTGTTGTATAAAAACCACAAAAACGACTTTACGACGTGGTACATCTTCAAAACGTCCTTTGTTGACGTTTATGGCTGACCCGCTATCCACAATTCCAGGGCCGAACAACGCTTGCGAATTCGCGTACAGAAGCCATCCGAATTGTTCACCGGTTATATCGAAGACATTGTTGATCTTTGCAACCGTGTGAACACCGCCATGCCCGAGTCGGAGAAAATTCCGCACATCCTCAAAGGGATAAATGACGGCGCATTTCAGATGCTCCTCGCCCGTAATCCGGCCACTGTTGTGGAACATGTGATTTTATGTCAAAGTTTCGACGAGTTAACGAAGCAGCGCGCCCTGACTCGGCAATTTTCCATACACGCTGACTCGATCTCCAGTCTTATGTTTCCGGTCACTCACTGACCCCGCAAGAAATTAAACACTGTGCGTGAAGAAGCAGCTCGGTAACTGTCGTTAATTTCCTTCACGCAGCAGCCACCATCCTCTCGTCTGCCCTCACCACTCCGCGACATTATTGCCGAAGAGGTAGATCAGGCTGCTCTCGTCGCTGCCCACCAGCAGCCTGTGGCCATGCCTGTTCGCCATGCGCCAGCTATGCAGCCTGTAACCACGCCTCTTACGTATGCCCAGGTGGTACGCAGCAGACCCCGACCGCAGCAATTGCCTTCCATGTCTCCAGTTGCTCCCCACTCCACCCCTCTTTCGACACCTTGCGCCGCATCGCGAGTTAGCAATTCTTGGCGCACTGCTGACAATCGACCGATCTGCTACGCCTGCGGTACTCCAGGACACGTGGCACGATATTGTCGCCGTCGCTTCCAACCACTCTATGATGCTATCCGCCGTTCTCGTATGACCCACAGTCTATGCACCTACCGGCTCCCTATCCCTCACTGCAGTATGGCTACACTAACCTTACCGAGTCTCAGTCACCCCAGCCCCCACCTCCAAAGACAGACTCCATGGAACTGAGTTCTTCTACTCCTTAGGCTTACGATCTGGATACTGGCAAGTTCCTATGGCAGAAGCTGATCGCCAGAAAACTGCGTTCATTGCACCAGGTGGCCTTCACGAATTTAACGTGATGCCAGTTGGGCTTTGTAATGCTCCTGCCACGTTTGAACGACTCATGTAAAACACACTGCGTAGACTGAAGTTGTCTGTGTGTCTATGCTACCTCGACGACATTCTCATTTGCTCTCCCGCTTTTCCTACACATCTGATTTGGCTTCGACTGGTTCTGACGTGTTTAACTAACGCTGGGCTCCAACTCAACCTTAATTAGTGCTGCTTCGCCACGCCAGAGGTGTCCATCTTGAGGCACATTGTGTCCAAGCATGACGTTCTACCTTACCCTGCAAAACTTCGAGCAGTCGCTGAGTTCTCGATACCTACTACTCTGAAGGAATTACGCAGTTTCGTTGGACTATGCTCGTACTTCCGGCAACTGGTTCAAAATTTCGCGTCGATCATGTCACCACTGATACAACATCCTACGCGGTGGCGGAGACCTTTTATCCTGGTTTCCTGACTGCGACGTCGCGTTTGCTATGCTCCGTAGTCTGCTAACCTCTCCTCCCATTGTTCGGCATTTTGACCCAACAGCTGCAACGGAAGTTCATACAGACACTAGCGGGGTTGGTCTTGGCGCTGTCCTCGCCCAACGCAAGCCGGGCTACTCCGAATACCTCGTCGCTTATGCGAGTCACACGTTCACTAAAGCTGATGCCAATTGCAGCGCACTGAAAAGGAGTGCTTAGTGCTAGTGTGGGCACTTCGCAAGTTCCGCCCTTATTTGTACGGTCGCCCATTCGACCTGGTAACTCACCACCACGCACTTTGTTGGCTCGCCACATTGAAAGATCCTTCTGGCCGCCTAGCTCGGTGGCACTGGAAATCCAGGAGTACGACATTCATGTCACTTATCGCAGCGGACGCAAGCACTCTGACGCCGACGTCATGTCCCATTCGCCTTTACCTCCCGACTCGGCCAGCGGAACCACTGGTACCAACTCCGTCGCATCTCTCGACCTTGACTCCTTTGTCAGTGAACAACGCAAGGACCCGTGGATCACTTCCCTTTTTGACTGTCTCTCTGGATCGTCGACCACTCCAGTATCACGATCTCTCTGACGTCAAGCTGCTAAATTTGCCATTCGTGATCGGCTGCTACGCCGACGGAACCACGCCCCTGAAGGTCGTAAGTGGCTCTTGGTTGTCCCCCGCAGCTTGCGATCACGAATATGCGCCTCCTTTGAGGAAGATCCCTAACGTGGTAATGCTGGTGGTTTGAAAACTTACGCACGCAATGCATTGGTCATCGCTTTCACTGACGCGAAAAGTATAATTTTGTTCGAAAATCTGTTATGGGCTGCCCTGGCTGTCAGCGCCGCAAATCACTGCCTTTCCACTCCTCTAGTGCACTTCAGCGGCTTTCGTGCTCTGCCAAACCTTTCAATCGGATCGGAATCGATCTATATGGCCCTCTACCGATAACACCAGATGATCATTGGTGGGTCATAGTCTCTGTGGACCATTTCACATGCTACGCTGAGAGCGCTGCCCTGCCAAGTGCCACTGCGCGGGACGTAGTGTCTCTCATCCTCCATCGCTTCATACTACGACGTTGTGCACCTCGAGAACTACTAAGTGACTGAGGTCAAGCCTTCCTATCAGAAGTCGTCAAGTCTCTCCTTTCTAAATGCCATGTTGTTCATTGCAAGACCACGGCATACCACCCGCAGACTAACGCGCTCACGTAGAGATTTAACCGCACTCTTGGCGATATGCTCGCGATGTATGTGACATCTCATCTTACTAACTGGGATTGCATTCTTCCATTCATCACGTTCGCATACAACGCCGCGGCACAGTCTACATCTGGATTTTCACCTTTCTTCTTTATGGACATGAACCTTCCTACACCTCCTACACTCTCCTTCCATACCGTCTTTACGCATCTGAATGCTCATCTGTGTCTGAAGCTGCCCGAAAAGTGGAAGAGTGCCGTGAACTCGCACGCACTTTTACGTCACAAGAACAGCAGCGCCAGAAAGAAAACAACGCTGACTCTTCACGAAGCCACAGCTGTTCCCCGGGATCACTTGTATGGCTGGCTGTTCCTTACCAAACCCCCGGCTTTTCCTCAAAACTCGTCCCAAAGTACGGGGGCCCTTACCACGTTTTGAAGCAAACTTCGCTGGTGAATTTTCTCATTGAGCTGCTTTCCCCATCTGACGACGTGTGCCGACGTGGACGTGACGTCGTCCACGTCGCCCACCTTAAGCCATATCACAGCCCTCTGGCTTCAGACCCTTAGGTCACCAGGATGGCTCTTTTTTGGCGGGGGAAAATTGTGAAGAAGAAAATGCATCGTTGGCAAGAAACACCCCACCACATGGGTACTGGGTTCTGGGCGCCTCTCGTTCGCCTCGTGCTGATCGTTGCCGGCATCTGCTTGACCGTTGCTCTGTCCCGATCATGTTTTCGTCGTAGATCACCGGTCGCAACACATGCCAATAAAACCAAACCCCTTTTCAGCTCTCACGAATCATCTTTCACTGCGCTCACGAAGAGGCAAAGGCAGAAACCCCTCTCAGGAAAGGGGAAAGGCATGCACATTTCTAGGCACAAGTAGGGGACCATACACAATACGCTAGGGGACAGCACAACACCACTGGCACAGTGCGATGACCTGTAACCCCCCCGCACATAGTCGAACCAACTGTTTTGACAGGTTCAAGGCTGACTCATCAAGGAGGCATGGCTGCCTGGCAGTCCGAGGTGTGCAGAAAATGACGTCTCGAAAGTATTTTGAAATGCAAGAAACGTCACCGAAGTTGTTTCTCCGGCACTCGACTTATTGTCAGGTGATTTTTGACACTCCAGCAACGCAGAGGGGACCATGTGTTTCTAGACGGCCCAGACAGCAAAACAGCTCTCTCCCGGGGATTCGTCCAGCAATTGGGCCCAAAAGGTTGAGGCGAGCCAAAGGGCCTAAAGAATTAGCTGTGCTGTCGCTCTTTGAACTCCTCAAAGAGCGCGGCAAAGTCGAAATCCTTTCCCGCATTCAAGCGGTGCTGATTACAACAGTGGGACTTCGCAAATGTAAGTGCCAGCTTGTCCCGTCGTGTTCTCGCTCTGTATTTCATGTTTCCCACTGGTGTTATCCAATGTTCTAGACCATATCCCGATGACTCTGGAGCTTTTCTCTCAAGAAAAGCGCTGGTGGTCTATTATGCTTGTCATTGCATGAAAACAATTAAGGAATTGCTATGGGGAACGTCAAAAACGTGTATTCATCGGTATGTTATAGTCACTCAACGGAAAAAGACAAAAAAAGGTGCAGCGAAAAGCCAATAAACACACACATTGCCCTTCTTCTCTTCTTTTTTTTGTCGTTTTGGCTTATTCACCATGATTTATTGGTGAACACAAAGGATGAACGACTATCCTAACAACAAGTACTTCCGAGTTCTTTAAAGCACCCTCACTCACTTGGCTGTTCATTTCATAGAGCTCACTCTATTGACCACGCGAAACGCCCTGTTTGACCATTTGCGCTTAATGGCTACGCGGCACAGGTACACCCACTTTTCACAATATGCTTCAGAAAAGCTTGAAGTTTGACGCCCATGCATAGACGTCGGACTCTGCCCAGGCGCCACCTCGAAAAAGGCCACCGCAAGCGCCCTCATCACTGCACTCGCCGTAACAGGTAGTGCGAAAAGAGTGGTCCCCATGTGAACATGCATAGGCCCCCCTTTGTCATTACTGTTGAGGCGTAGTTTCCTGAAAATGAAGGACCTGGCAAACTCCTTTCGTTAATGCAAGCTCCGTTTCTCATCAAAGTGGACTGCTGGCACAATGCAAACAATGTTCACGTTGATTCGCCTTGCTGCAATCCGCAATTTCAGTGCAAGCGAGCATCGCAAAACATTGAGTTCGAGGAAAGCACTCTGAAGAGTGTTAAGTAGCACCTAAATGCGTCAAATGTGAGCATATTCGTGATGCTAAGGCGCTCGAGTGCACCCACAACCAATCTATCTGACAATCAGCGGTACGTACGATCTCGCTTTATCTTGCACGAATGGCCCCGGCAAAGGCTTCGCCTTTACAGTTGCATTCTCCATCCATCTCTCGCCTAAATTATTTTATCACGCATCCTTGAATGTTGTGGCGACGGTTGTATGCCGTTTGTATATACTACAAATAAGAATACATGCGTGTCCACTTTTTCGGTGTACAACGAAAGGCTAAACCCAGGCCTGTGACATAGCTCGGGCAATCGCGAAGGCCAACGTCCAGAAAAACCTTATTTGTCACTACCAATATTTTGCAATTCAACTGCATGACGTACGTGTTCGCATTACTGTGTTAAATCTGGAACTTATAGGCTTCAAAGCCTACGTGCGTCAAGCTTTGTGATGGCTACCACTTTAGATTAACGGTGGTCTCGGCGTGTGCGGTGTTTATCGCACTTGTCACCAGACTACCGCTGCGTGGCGCGCACCACAGTCAGAAGCTCTGTTGAGCTTCATAATCAGTTAACCTGGTTATCCGTCAAGGTTACTCAAAACAATAACAGCAGCCTTACATTATCACACTTTATCCCCGCCTTGGAGAACACCAGCAATTCGCTTACGCAACACGTTCGCAATGGCCCGTATCCAGTGTTATGCCGTTCTGCTTCACGAAATCTACGGAAATCGGTAAAACGGAAGTCCTTTAAGTTTGTGGTAATGAGTAATGCAACAGTCGCGCAACTATAATATTTATTCGGAGAGCATGCAGCTGTTGCCTCTGCTCTTGTTATCGCCGTCGTTTTGGCGAGTGAACCAGCGAACACTTCTTGGCAGTTTGGTGAAGCGCCTGGCTAGCGCAAAAAAATTTACTTACCATCATTTACTTACCATTTACCCCTTACCATCCGCAAACTAACGGTCTCACTGAGAGAACAAATCGAACTCTCACGAATATGCTATCGATGTACGTTGATGCTGACCACAGGAACTGGGACGCCATCTTACCTTTTGTTACGCGTATAACACCGACAAGCATGAAGTTACTGGACATTCGCCCTTCTTTCTGCTTTATGCACGAAATCCACAGAGTTTTCCGGACACTCTATTACCTTTCTCGCACCAGGAAGATCTGTCCATCGCTCAGACGTTGTGTCGCGCTGAAGAAGCACGTCAACTAGCGCGCCTTCGAACATTGTCTTCGCAAGAACACAGCAAGAGTCGCTATGATGCCAAGCATATCCCCGTAGAGTTTTCTCCTGGTGACTACGTGTGGCTGTGGACTCCTGTTCGTAAAAAAGGATTGTACCGGAAGTTTCTAGCAAACTATTCCGGCCCATTCGTGATAGTCACTCGTCTTAGTGACGTGAATCACGTTGTTGGCCGAGTCTCAGCCAATAACTGGCGTTCGCGCACTACGCAAATTGTTCACGCAGCCTGCCTCAAACAGTACCATCATAGGCCTATTTAACTCGCTCGGCGAGCTTCGTCTGCCGCCGGGGTAAATGAAACGAAGATGCGCGAGCCTACGGGGCGCGGAAGAAGAAGAGGAGTTGTGGAGCGGCGCTTGGACTGTGTTGTTGGGTGAAGCGTTCTGGGCCTGTCTCAGAAGTACGCTGCTCTTCGACAACGCCATTTCACCTCATCTTTAAATAAACACAGTCACTCGTAACAATATGTGGGGTTTAACGTCCCAAAACCACCATATGATTATGATAGACGCCGTAGTAGAGGGCTCCGGAAATTTCAACCACCTGGGGTTCTTGAACGTGCGCCCAAATCTGAGCACACGGGCCTACACCATTTCCGCCTCCATTGGAAATGCAGCCGCCGCAGCCGGGATACGAACCCGCGACCTGCGGGTTAGCAGCCGAGTACCTTAGCCACTAGACCACCGTGGCGGGGCAAATTACCACTATTAGACCTACTGTAACCAATCGGGTGCGTGTGTCTGCTTACAGTTTCATGTCCACGTGCAATAAAACTTACTTGTGCCAGCAATCCAGCACTCAGTGCGTCGAATTGCTAGCTTTTTTAGAAAGGTGGCATTTTCTGGAGGCGTCTCCAATATTCAAGTGCGTCCGCATTTCGCGCAGTGAGTTGTCCAGTTGCCCCTTGGTGTTATTAGTATGCTCCTACAAGTGGTTCATGAGGATCCGCCTTGTGCGGCTGGTCCTTGGGTTAGAAAAATTATTTAATTCAAGTAAATATGTTTTTCGCCACTACAGTTGTAGCAGTAATGCAAAATTGTCACAGCTTTCAGGGAAGCTCTCGGAAATTACTGTCGTTGCCTGTGGCTACACTATTACCTGCACCTTGTTGGTGCGTTGGCAGATGATGATGAGTAACTTCATTGCCTTAAACGAATAAGAAATAACAGCAATGGCACTTCATTGTAATGCTCTAATGGCGACTACCACAGATATTGAGTTCTACGAAGTCATTTTATGTAATAACCACTCGCTACTTGCTTCAATTAGGTAGGAAGGAGTAAGCCCTGTGCCCCTTGCTAGGTTTCCGGCGTGCTAGTAGGAAATGAAAAAAAAAAACGTAAAAAGAAAATTTGTTTTACTAGCATGCTGAAAATGTCACGATGTACCATCAAATGACCCTTCTGTCAATACCTATAAACGTTTATCCAACATCACGATTTTTTTTCGATCCTGAAGCAGGCGCAGAAATATATACAGACATTATCCTAGTTATGTCTTCGTAGGTTCATGACATTGGCCAAGCTCTAACCCTAAATTTAGACTACAAAGTAAGTTGTGTAGGTCTCCCCGATTCTTCCTCACAGCACAACACTTGGTAACAAGAAAATATGCGTCTGATACACAATACTTTATTTCCGGTAACCTTAGTGGAATGACCAGTGCCCTTGTCACGCTAATCAATCTGACAAATCAGCAGCTCACCACACTTTTAGTTGAAAGAAGCAACGATATCTCTCCCTCCTCAATTTCTAGAGAAGTGTTCTTTCATACAAATTTCGATACCTATGAGGCCCTCTCAATATCACCTTTCTCGAAAGCCATGTACCCAGCAATGAACCTGTGTTTAGCAGTTCAAGAGGAGCTGCTTGTGCTTCTGAAAAGCTGGTTGCAATCTACGAGAGATTGTTATGAGTTTATTTTTTTTAGAATGAAGTTCAGTAAGACCATTCTCAAGCTTTAAGCACGTTGAATCTTGCCTTGGTTACACGAAGATTCCGACAGACCTTGTGAACATGACTGCGTGTGACCGACGTTATTTCACGCAAAATATTTGTAAAGTTTATATTCCCCCTGCCGCTCAATCCCAGAGCCGTTATTTCTTTCATGATGCGGTTTCTGGCACCTTCTTTCAGACGCGGTGTCCTATTTTACCAATTCTTTCTCGTCATTAGCTTTAGCAGCTTGCACTTCCCGCACCTTGATTTTCGTTTTTTATGTTTAGTTAAACTATACCTTAAAAAGACACTAGAAAAAAACGATGCCAGCGCAGAACCCGCTGAAAACGAAGAGCGAAAGCTGGAAGAGCAGCTTTTTTACAGTCTTCTTTAACAACTAAAAGTAAACTGAACTCCATGACACTACACCCACTCTTCTTTTAATCATAATTCTTGTAATGTAGGGAAGCACGCACTCTACCAAATTTTGTCATTCTGCATAGAAACAATGCAGCTGCTACACATATGTGAAATTGTATGCGCATTTTGTTGGTGTGGCTGCTGCTGATGATAAAAAATTATGGCTGAACCCTTTGATATACGTAGGAAGTTTC